TGTCTATGTGTCTGTCTATGTCTGTCTCTGTCTGTCTGTCAGTGTCTGTCTATGTCTGTCTCTGTCTGTCTGTCAGTGTCTGTCTATGTCTGTCTCTGTCTGTCTGTCAGTGTCTGTCTGTTGGCGTCTGTCTGTCTGTTGGCGTCTGTCTGTCTGTTGGTGTCTATCTGTCTGTGTCTGTTTGTCTGTCTGTGTCTGTTTGTCTGTCTGTGTGTATCTGTCTGTATCTATGTGTGTGTATGTGTGTGTGTCTGTGCGTGTGTGTGCTGTTAGTGTGTGTGTGTGTGTGTGTGTGTGTGTGTGTGTGTGTGTGTGTGTGTGTGTGTGTGTGTGTGTGTGTGTGTGTGTGTGTGTGTGTGTGTCTGTCTGTCTGTGTGTGTCTGTCTGTCTGTGTGTGTCTATCTGTCTGTGTCTGTCTATCTGTCTGTGTGTCTGTCTATCTGTCTGTGTGTCTGTCTATCTGTCTGTGTGTCTGTCTATCTGTGTCTCTCTCTATCTGTCTGTCTGTGTGTCTCTCTATCTGTCTGTCTGTGTGTCTCTCTATCTGTCTGTCTGTGTGTCTCTCTATCTGTCTGTTTGTGTGTCTCTCTATCTGTCTGTCTGTGTGTCTATCTCTCTATCTGTCTGTGTGTCTCTCTATCTGTCTGTCTGTGTGTGTCTCTATCTGTCTGTCTGTGTGTCTCTCTATCTGTCTGTCTGTGTGTCTCTCTATCTGTCTGTCTGTGTGTCTCTCTATCTGTCTGTCTGTGTGTCTCTCTATCTGTCTGTCTGTGTGTCTCTCTATCTGTCTGTCTGTGTGTCTCTCTATCTGTCTGTCTGTGTGTCTCTCTATCTGTCTGTCTGTGTGTCTCTCTATCTGTCTGTCTGTGTGTCTCTCTATCTGTTTGTCTGTGTGTCTCTCTATCTGTCTGTCTGTGTCTATCTATCTATCTGTCTGTGTGTCTCTCTATCTGTCTGTCTGTGTGTCTCTCTATCTGTCTGTCTGTGTGTCTCTCTATCTGTCTGTCTGTGTGTCTCTCTATCTGTCTGTCTGTGTGTCTCTCTATCTGTCTGTCTGTGTGTCTCTCTATCTGTGTCTGTGTGTCTCTCTATTTGTGTGTGTGTGTGTGTGTGTGTGTGTGTGTGTGTGTGTGTGTGTGTGTGTGTGTGTGTGTGTGTGTGTGTGTGTGTGTGTGTCTGCCTGTGTGTGTCTGTCTGTCTGTCTGTCTGTCTGCCTGTGTGTGTGTGTGTGTGTGTGTCTGTCTGTCTGTCTGTCTGCCTGTGTGTGTGTGTGTGTGTGTGTGTGTGTGTGTGTGTGTGTGTGTGTGTGTGTGTGTGTGTGTGTGTGTGTGTGTGTGTGTGTGTGTGTGTGTCTGTCTGTCTGTGTGTGTCTGTCTGTGTGTGTCTGTCTGTGTGTGTCTGTCTGTGTGTGTCTGTCTGTGTGTGTCTGTCTGTGTGTGTCTGTCTGTGTGTGTCTGTCTGTGTGTGTCTGTCTGTGTGTGTCTGTCTGTGTGTGTCTGTCTGTGTGTCTCTGTCTGTGTGTCTCTGTCTGTGTGTCTGTCTGTTGCCTGTGTGTGTGTTCGTCTTTCTGTCTGTCAGTGTGTGTCTGTGTGTTTACATTAATCTGATTCCTGCTTAGCATTTACAGTCTATTTTTATATTGCAAAGTAAATCCATAGACTAGATACGGTAAAATTGATAATTTCAGATGTACAGATATGGGGTTCAACTATGATTTTCTGTTAAAGATTATTGTTACTTTGATTTCATAAACCAATATGTATCAATAAAATACTTCAAAGAAAGCAGAATGAAAAAAAATAAAAAATAAATCTATAAATACTCCCAATATAATATCCCTTCCACTCTTTTTACTGAACAACAAACTTATGAAAAGCTTAGAAAATTATAAAAAGATATTGCATTATGTGGCTTGCATTCCTCAAAATCTGAAGAAAATAAAATTATATTGCATAATTTTGACTCATTGCACAATTTTCCCTGCATTTTCCATTGGCTCAAGGTTATAGGTTATAGGTTATCAAACACAAAAAAAGGGAGAGAAATTTAAGAAAATCTGATTGGAATAAGGGTTTAATAATACCTTTAAAAAAAAGGTCATGAAAAAGGTAATGAAAAAGGTAATGAAAAAAGTAATGAAAAAGGTAATGAAAAAGGTGGCAATAAAAAAGGTAATGAAAAAGGTGGCAATGAAAAAGGTAATGAAAAAGGTGGTAATAAAAAAAGGTAATGAAATAGGTAATGAAAAAGGTGGTAATGAAAAAGGTGGTAATGAAAAAGGTGGTAATGAAAAAGGTGGTAATGAAAAAGGTAAAGAAAAAGCTAATGAAAAAGCTAATGAAAGATACATAGGTGTTTATGGTAAGATTTACATACTCTTCATAAGCATTACTTTTAACGGAAAGGAATTCTACTGTGAAAAGGTTAATTAAGTAAATATACTGTTTTTTTATAACGAGTGAAAGTGATAACTACATAACTTAGTTAAAAAAAAAAGGTTTTCTCAAAACAACAAATCATTTATTGACTGGTGAGCAAAAAGAACCACAACAACAATAATGACTACATCCCTTAATTAAAAAAAAAAAAAGGTTTTCTCAAAATAACAAATCATTTACTGGTAAGCAAAAAAAAAAAAAAAAAAAAAAAAAAGAACCACAACAACAACAACAAATAAAAAACAAAAAAAAAATCTATACATAGAAACTAAAAGTTGACATTTCCTCCATTTCCTCCATGCCCATCCCTCGGGCAAGAACTCACTCACGAGAAACTTACCCAAACAACCACATGCAGTATTGCAACACTGCAACTTCGCACTCCACACCTTTGCACCTTGACGCCCTACAGCTGACTGGCCCGAATTGGGACTCTCTCTCGCGGGCACTTGGATTAATTACTTCAATTACTTCCCGTTTCCCTGTTCTATTTTTACGTTTTTTGGAAGGCTCTTATGGCGTGGTAAGTTTATTTCTGTTAATTTAGGGGAATATCGTAGTCTATATTTTTGTTGTTTGTTAATGAGGCGTCGGTATTTTGTCTCTGTGTTCGGAATTTTCCAAGAGGATGTATTTGTTTACGGAGGCGGTGCTGCCATCTGTTGGCGGAAGCGGGAGGTTTTCGGGTCGGGATTGGTGGTTGTTCTGTAGTTAGGTGCAATTGATTAATTAATGTCGGGTTGTAATGCTGTCGTATTGTAATTGTAATTGATTAATTAATGTCGTGTTGTAATTGTAATTGATTAATTAATGTCGTGTTGTAATTGTAATTGATTAATTAATGTCGTGTTGTAATTGTAATTGATTAATTAATGTCATGTTGTAATTGTAATTGATTAATTAATGTCGTATTGTAATTGTAATTGATTAATTAATGTCGTATTGTAATGCTTGGAAAGAGCTACGGACTCATTTTTTTTCTCTCTCTTCTTTTTTCTTTTTCTTTTTCTTCTTCTTCTCATTCTCCTTCTTCTTCTTCTTCTTCTTCTTCTTCTTCTTCTTCTTCTTCTTCTTCTTCCTCTTCTTCTTCCTCTTCCTCTTCTTTTTCTTTTTCTTTTTCTTCTTGTTCTTGTTCTTGTTCTTCTTCCTCTTCTTCTTTCTTCTTCTTCTTCTTCTTCTTCTTCTTCATCTTCTTCTTCTTCTTCTTCTTCTTCTCATTCTTCTTCTTTTTCTTTCTTTTTTTTCTTCTTTTCTTCTTCTTCTTCTTCTTTTTCTTTTCCTTTTTTTTTTTTGCTTTTTCTTTTTATTTTTTTTATATTTTTTATATTTTTATTCTTCTTTTTCTTCTTCTTCTCCTTCTTCTTCTTCTCCTTCTTCTTTCTTTTTTTCTTCTTTTTCTTCTTCTTCTTCTTCTTCTCCTTCTTCTTCTTCTCCTTCTTCTTTCTTTTTTTCTTCTTTTTCTTCTTCTTCTTCTTCTTCCTCCTCCTCTTCTTCTTCTTCTTCTTCTTCTTCTTCTTCTTCTTCTTCTTCTTCTTCTTCTCATTCTTCTTCTTCTTCTTCTTTAGCGAGTGAGTTTCAGACACAGGGTGAGGACGAATTACAATATCAAGTGTTGCGATCTTTAGTTAAGTGTATTCATTTGTAATAAGTCTACTTTGCATAGTAATATATCGATTGTTCTGTGGGTATATTGATAGACTCTGTATATTCTGTGCATGGCATTTTGTCTAAAGTATATTAAATTCCGTGGTTGATTTTCGTATCGCTTCGTTTTAAATTTCATAACTTTATATGCATTAATATTATTAAAATAATTGTTTAATTAATTTCGCAAATGTTATTACGATTGAAAAAAAAAACGCGTTCTGCTTTCTTTTTCTATTATGATTTCGGTCCACCTCCCCATACGGGTCTCTCTCCCTCTCTGTCTCTCTCTCTCTCTCTCTCTCTCTCTCTCTCTCTCTCTCTCTCTCTCTCTCTCTCTCTCTCTCTCTCTCTCTCTCTAGTCTCTCTCTCTCTCTCTCTCTCTCTTAGTCTCTCTCTCTCTCTCTCTCTCTTAGTCTCTCTCTCTCTCTCTCTCTCTCTCTTTCTCTCTTTCTCTCCCTCTCTCTCTCTCTCACTACACACACACACACACACACACACACACACACACACACACACACACACACACACACACACACACACACACACACCTGTTACTAACAAGACCGATCAGAGTTAAAGCCGCCAGATGTATATGATAATAATATTAGCATATTTTTTTGCTTCTAGAAATGCACGCTTACCCATGGGAGCTGTAAACATTATGACTGCAATTTAGTGTAATGCATCAGCGTGTTTTTTTTATTGCATTATGGGAAAGTAGGATAAAATCAGGCTAGACATGTTATTAGTTTCCACATTTCACAACGTCGAGTATTTTTTTTTTTTTTTTTTTTTTTTTTTTTTTGACTGCATATAATCTAGAGTACCTTTGTGATGATGCATTGAATCTTATAAAATCACTATTATTATCTGTGTAGAGGTTACCGTTAATAAGTAGTTTCAACATTGTCGCTTATGATAATAAGAAGAGTAACTAATAATTATTTATAAAAATAATAATTGTAATAATAGAAATAAAAAATCAAAATTGTAACGATACAGCGATCACGTAAGTAAAATAAGAGAAAATATAATATGGAGACGATGGCTGTACAGTGAAAGGAAATGATAGAGCTAATAGATAGCTTAGTACTATTTCAGAGTTCTTTCAGCCGTACAGTCACATACACTCCCGTTACAACTGTGTTTAATAGCCGTCTAATCTCTCGTGATTTCATTATTATCATTTTTTCTTTTCTTTTCTTTACAGGTGTGCTCGAGAACAAGCATTGCAGGAACTCGGATTCTTTTCTGCTAAAGTACTGTAGAAGCTATTTGTATTTTTATCTGTTAGTGTATTATTACTTTTAGTGTTGTTGCAATCTTTATAATCATCCTTAACCTCGCTAATTCAATCATTATTTGAGAACTGGAAACTTAATTGCATGTCCTTATCCCGAATTAGATAAAACAAAAATGCTCGTATTTGCACTGCTAGATCATACTGACTACCATATGAATGAAGTAATTATTCCAGATGTCTGAATACGAGCAGAAGAGGGAGAATGTCATGAACAGCAGTATTAATGTTAAGCAAATTATATATATAAATATATATATATATATATATATATATATATATATATATATATATATATAATTACGATCTAAGTTCATAATTATATATGCATATATATACATACATACATACATACATATATATATAATATATATATATATATATATATATATATATATATATATATATATATATATATATATACATATATATATATATATATATATATATATATATATATATATATATATATATATATTAAATTAACCGTTTTATTAATATTATCAAAACTAGTAGTAGTATCATTACCATCATAATTATCATCACTATTATCATTATCATTAGCATTCATGTAATTATCATCAATATTTTCACTATGTTGTTACTATACTCGTTATTTTACCCATAATTACATTTATTATAAAGGATACAGGTATGATCTTGAACATTTGTAATATACGAGAATAGATTCCATGATCTAGCAATAAAAACATAATGTTAACTGTTATAAATCAAAGGCTTCAAATTACAATACATCTCGATATCCTTGACTTGCACCGAGTTGTGTGGTGTTCATCGACGTTACTTAAGTCAATAGAAATTTGTATATCTGTATGATTTTCAGTTTATTTTCTTCTATTTCATTTCATTCTTCTCACAATAGCATTTTTTTTCTTTCATTTAAACTAACATGACCACGTAATTAAAGTAAGAGGGCTTCAGCAAGTTACAACTTTGAAAATAATGTAAAAACATATATCGAATTTATATACGCATCACTACAAAATACCAAGCTCAAAATACTTTCACACCCCAAATACTTCTTTTTCTCTTATTCAAATTCGCTTGCATCCGTTACACTTTTAACTGTCACAACATCAGGTAGCGGGGAAATAACTTTCAAAAGACCGAATTCAATAAAGTTACTGAACGAAGACATACCTTTGGCTTGGTCTGGCGATGTCTTTCTCCTCGGCTCTGGTGCTTCTGTCATTGAGGGCACACAATAAATGACAGCGAAGGATGCCAGATACTGTCATTCTTGCTGTTTTTCTTTTTCTTTTTTTGTGAATGTCCATTGAACATGAAGATGCTTGGATAATTGTGAGTAAGTAAATGCGGTGATAATGATACATAATGATAATGATAATGGTACAATTTGAACGGCCGGGAAAGGTAAAGACAATTTGATATTACGGTAAACGTTCAAGTGTTTCGTCAGAAAAGGTTTAGCTTACTTCTCTGTTAATTCTCATTTCAAGAAAAAATCATGTTTAAATGAAAAAAAAAAGGGTAATTGTTTCTGTTCTTGTTTTCATTTAATTATCACAACACAATTAACAGCACAACTGAAAACAATACTGATAAAACACTAATTCACGTTCAAAACCTGTACTGTGCGTTTTCTTACGTGATTCTGTGAATGTAAATTTATTGCTAGCCTCAGGGTCGTTCAATTTGCTTCATGAATTTAAATGTGGGGTCGTTCCGTGCTGTCTCATCTCGAAATATTAGGTCGGCCCGAAGCGCAAGATATGTATATAAGGCTAGGAATAGAATGGCTCTCCCCTTTTTACACACGATGGTTACACATAAACAGCTATATATATATGTGTGTGTGTGTGTGTGTGTGTGATACATTTAATAGATATACATATTTATATTACACACAGACACATACATATATACATACATACATGCATATATATATATATATATATATATATATATATATATATATATATATATATATATATATATATACATATTTACATACATATATACGCACACATATATGTGTGTGTGTATACACGGGTAAAGCAGTTAGTCATCCTTCCATTGCATCATTCTTAACCATGGCTCATGCAAGATAAATGAAGTTCCACGCTATATCAGGCAGATCCTGCCAGAAGACTTTTCACATTTCCTTTAAATTACTTACGTCCTGGCTATCACATGACACATGACTCATTTTCATGTTTACATTTATTTTTCTCTTTTGGCTAAGATAAGTGAGAACACACGGACACGCGCGCACGCACACACACATACGTGTATATATTTAGCATGTGTATATGCGTGACTGTTTATATGTATTTAGGTATATCAAGCTACCTATACATACATACATATACATGTACACATTTATGTACACACACACACACACATATATTAAAACAAAAACAAACAAACAAACAAAGTTTTGCACACAAGCCCAGCGGCTTTCCCGTATTTCTCGATTTTTTCTTTGAAATCATCTTAAATTGTCTCGTCGCGTTTCCCCTGATTATGTATATGATTTTGTGTATATGTTCCCCTTAATATTAAATGCATGTATATATGTATGCACATAGACACGTACATAATGCATACATACACACGCGTATATAATAAATACACGCTCTTATTATTAGACCCTGGGAATATGGCTGTCGACGTAAGCATATAACATAGTGTCAGTCTAAAGGAAGAACGAAGATCACATGACTTCTCCTGATCCGGGTTGACCTCCCATGATCCCTTTTCATTTCTCTTGACCTCCCTTGGTCTCACTTGACATCCCTTAATCAGCCACTTGAGAAGCGTGACACCGGTCGTTGTGCACAATCACGTGATAATGCAGCTTGGGTCAATGGTTGGGTGCTGTCTTAACCAACTACATGGCTAGATTCTTGGTGGTATGATGGAATGTGTTTATGCTTTTCATGTTTGTTTTCTAATTTGTATTGTTCGTTTTGGGAAAATATTGTATAATTGAAAAAAAAGAAAAAAACGGTTAGTGTTTGGTCTAAACTTGTAGCGGTAAATATAACTTTATCTCTAGTTTTTTTTTTTTTTATTGTTAAGGTAATTAATGCAGGGAAACCTTTACGCCAACTATCAAGGTCTGTGTAATACTTCTCCATCCGGGCAGATGGGAGAAAAGTCTCCTGGAACTATCGTTGTAATCCTCGACAAACGCGTGAGGGACCAGTCCTTGCTTGTCCTGGAGGCAAGAGAAAACCCGCAGAGCTAGTCGGGCTAATCCTCGCCGACGGTGGCTCTCCACGGTGTAAAGCATCCCAGTGGTGCCGTAGAAGGTGAGTGCGACCCATGCCACGGCACTCTCTTCGTCCCCAGCCCGTTGCAGGGACGTCGGCTCCACTCTCTGGACCTCCCCGACGTCCGTCTCGTACACGCCGACGTTAGTGGGATGTTCGGCGAAGGAGAGGAGTTTGCTCACGTCAACGTACTTGTTGTATTGCCATGCCGCATGCAACTGACGCACACCTCTTTCGCCCAGGTGGCAGACTCGCATCCCCGCAGGACATCTGGAAACAATCAAAATGAAAAAATAAAAGCAATCGTTTCAGGGGGAGAAATCGATGTTACTCAGTCATCAGAAATAATCACCCAAAAAATAACACTCTTCAGAAGCGCACAACACGATCATCCTCATCTACAAAAAACATCACAACAATCCTCACACAACGTCCTCCTCGTCGTCCTCCTTCGAGTAGAGGAACGTATCGACGAACTGGAAGTCTCCTTGACCTCCTGCCCGGCGATCCACCAAGGCCCTGACCCCCTCGGCCATGTAGACGGGGAGGTGGAGGAAGAAAAACGGCTTCGTCCAGTCAATGAGCCTAGTCTTCTCCAGGCCCTCCATCAACAGGCCAACAGCGGCCTCACAGCAAAACAGCGTCACAGCGTCTTGTTCACCCTTAAAGGAAAATACGAAATGGATGTATTTGCAAAGTCGGATAAAAACAATTAGATATGCTATCACCTTTAATACTGGACTTTGATATGGGCTTTGATACGGACATCGCTCGAGGCCAGGGTCGGAAGTCAGTTTTTTCCTTTCCTGAGGATGGAGTATAGTTTTGCTTGTTTCTACCATGTTGCTTACGGGAAATTGTGAAACGACGGAAGCGAACCATCCCCATGACACATAATAAAATCGTTTGTCTTGATATCAGTTACACCACTATTCCTGTTCTTTATGTAAATCATACTTCGGGATTATTTTTAAGGTTTGGTTATGATAAGCATAACTGCTAACGCTCACTGTGAACCATCGAATGGACTAATACCCGCTCCAAAAGAGAAATTACTGATTTTTCTTTTTCAAGAACTACGAACCCGCGTACTTTAGTAGGAATATACTGAGTCATGGTGGTGGAAGTTGCAATAATTGGAGATTATATATATACATACATATATATATATATATATATATATATATATATATATATATATATATACACGTATATATATATATATATATATATATATATATATATATATATATATATATATATACACGTATATATATATATATATATATATATATATATATATATATATATATATATATTACATACATACACATATATATATATAAATATATATATATATATATATATATATATATATATATATATATATTACATACATATATGTAAATATAAATATATATATATATATATATATTACTTACATATATGTAAATATATATATATATATATATATATATATATTACTATATGTAAATATATATATATATATTACTTACATATATGTAAATATATATATATATATATATATATATATATATATATATATATATATATATATATATATTTATATATGGACCGCCGCGATAGCTCAGTGGTTAGAGCGCTGGACTCAGACCCTCGTGGTCCCGAGTTCAATTCCCCGTCGCGGTAGTCGTAAAAATGCCTGCGCTCTGACTGCTGACTCGAACCCGAGAAAACGACATATCGCCTTGAGGAGTCAAACGCAGGTGTTGTAGGGGAAGTCCCCGCCGTGGCACAGGTGTTAACGCGCCGAACTGCGGTTGATTAGGAGAGCATTCAATCAGGCAAGGGTGACACCGCCATATCACCTCTCAATACTGAATTGAGAGAGGCCTATGTCCTGCAGTGGAATGAATGGCTGTTGAAAAAAGAAAGAAAATATATATATATATATATTCTAAATATATATCACGTGTGTGAGCATATATGCGCGCGTGTGTGTATGTGAATGTGCTTGTGCGTGGGTGTGGGTGGGTGCGTGTGCGTGTGCGCGTGTGCGTATATTTGTGTGTGTGTGTGTGTGTGTGTGTGTGTGTGTGTAAACACGAAAGGCTACCTGTCAGGAAACGTCGGCGACTAGTGTCAAAGTTTCAGATTTCATTGGTCAATAATCGATCGAGTCATGCCAGTCCCTAAGTTGAAAAAGGCAGTCCGTGCCCGTCGACAACCGACTGGCTATCATGGCTGCAGACAATCCCAGTCCACGATGCCTGGCTGATGCTGAGTGGCATTTCGAGGCACATAAAGGGCCACGGTGAGTCGCGTCCCTGCAATGTCTTCGCATATTGTTACTGCTACGTATAATAATGACAATAATGGGAATAACCACATAATAATAACGCTGTGGTAATGATAATAAAAATAATCATACATTTTTAATAATCATATTGACGTCACTGGCACAGTCCTAGACTGTCGCGGGCGGTGCAGCCATGAGGTCGATAACCGTTGCCAACAGGTGCTGTCTCCGGCCTATATTTTGGCCAACAGCTGACGACAAATGATAGCAGACTTTATCCCGACATTTGCCTTCAGTCATCATATCACTCATCATATGTCGCTGTCAATGTCCTCTCTACCCGACCACCGAAAATTCTGACCTACTCACGCGACACTCATAACTAGTCCAGTCCAACTAGTCCAACTTTCCAGTCAAGGCGCACACCGACGACAGGTAACAAGAAGCCGACTTGTATCTTTTATACTAAAATAAACACATCGAATTATCATATCACCAGTTTCTTTCCGCCACACGCGTTGAAGACGAGATAAAACGTAAAAATCCTCCCAGATCTACCTTACTCCTTGATAAAATGACAGGGCTGTTAGGGGGCGCCTTCAGCTCGTAGAAATCCTGACTGGAGGCGTAACCGCGGGCGTGGAGAACCAGGCAGTTGTGCATCTGTGGGAGGAAGCAACTACACTGACTCACTCTGACGGGGAAACTGTGAATTAATGAACAATTGATACGGTTGGTAGACAATAGGAAAATACAACGTTGGTAGTATTAATGATAATTGATTATTGATTTACACACATACATATATATACATATGTATTTATAGGAATTTATTGAAACAGCAATGTCTGTAATACCATTGTAATCTATTATTTTCGCTATTGTCGTCGTAATGTTTTATTTTAAAATTGTTATCATTACCATAGACAACATCACTGTTTCCAATATCATATCGGTATTATTATTACTATTATTATTATTATCATTATCATTATTATTACTGTTATTATTATCATTACTATTACAATTATTATTATTAGTAGTAGTAGTAGTATCATTATCATTATTATTATCATTATTATTATTATAATAATTATTATTATTATCTTTATCATAATTATCATAATCATCATCATATATTATTATTGTCATTATTATTATTATAACTATAACTATTATTATTACTACTATTATTACTATTTTGATTATTAGCATTATTATAGTTACCATTATCATAACCATTATCATTATCATAGTTATTATTATTGTTATTATCATTATTAGTATCATTATTATAATCATTTTGTTTTTGATTACTATTATCATCATTATTATTATCATTATCATCATAATCTACATTTATATTATTGCCATTACTATTACTATCATTGTTATTATCACTGTTATCATAATTATCGTCATCATCATCACCACCAACATCACCACCACCACCACCATTACCACCACCACCATCATCATCACCACCATCATTATCATTATTAATATCATTATGATCATCAATACCAATATCACTATTAAATCATTATGCCATGACAGTGCCAACATATACTCACGCTGGCAGAGAAAGGTAACTCCTTCCTGATAGTCTGCGAGAGTTCCATCAGCCTCTCCCGGTTCTCAATCTTCAAGAACACTTCCTTGTCTTCCATTGCAACACGATTTTGCAATCTCGAAATCACCAGACTGAAAAATGTAAACAATGTGCTCTGTGACTGCCAGATTTAGCGATATATTGGATTTGCTTCTGTCTGTTTCTGTATACACACACTCACACACACATATGTGTATGTATGTATGTATACACATATAAATAAACCATCCATGCCACACGATCATGCGGCAATGTGATGTTCCATCGTTCATGCTGCTACAAAATAAAAATTATACCCGAAGACTGTGTATGTGTGTGTGTGTGTGTGTGTGTGCGCGCGTGCGCGCGTGTGTGTGCGCGTGCGTGCGTGTGCATGTCTTAAGAAAAGCCTTCAAGCGGGATCGACCTTTACGCTGAATATAAAACTGTTTACTTCAGACAGGCAAACAAGCGAAACTGCCTGCCAAGCACTCGTTGCACGCCACATCGCTTCCCTCCACAATTATTCCTGCTGAACAAATGTTTGGTAAGTCTAATTAACCTAGTGATTATAATGATGTCAGACTGCTGTTTGAACAGATTTGTGACTAAAGTGATGAAAGGGAGAGCGTCCTAGCGTTGTTTATGAAACAAGGTAGTTTATGTTGCTTTCCATTCAATAGATCTGTTCTGTGTTGGGGGGATTGTCTTATTCAGCGTATGTAGGCCTACGGAGTGAAGCATCAGGGTTCTAGGAGTCGACTTTTGTGTCTATAGAAGTTTACATAGACCTTGTTTGTACGCCGGCATACACGATATATATACAGTATATATGTACACACACACATATATACACGTGTGTGTGTGTGTGTAGTGTTTATATATACGTTTATATGTGTGTGTGTATATATATAGAGAGAGAGAAAGAGAGAGGGACGGGGAGGGAGAAGGAGAGAGATTTATGCATATGTGTGTGTGCGTGCGTGTGATGATTAAGATATGTGCAATTTTTTTTCAGTAAATGACATCCGCAATGCACCATCATTATCCGTCTCGTCATCACCACTTATCTCTTGAAATTATACGAGAACAGCATGAGTCACCTTAAAATATAACACTCTTTCACTAAATATTTCACGTGTTCAACAATCAACTATTAATGGCATCTAGCGTAGGCCATATGTGACCTTGTCAGAGATAAAAGATAGATATAGAAGATCCTTATCAAGATAAAGCTGTATGTGGCATAACCGGTCACAATATTGCATAAGTTGCATTGAATTGCATAACCGGTCACAATATTGCATAAGTTGCATAACCGGTCACAATATTGCATAAGTTGCATTGAATTGCATAACCGGTCACAATATTGCATAAAGGTCATTACGTCATCTTTATTTCCAAGAACAAGCGAGAGGTGGTCTGCATCTTTTTTATATAATATTTATCTTTATGTTGCAGATTGCATGTATGTCCGTCGTTCTTCCAAAAGAATCTCAAGGACTGAAAACATGTCGACTTGGGAACTTTTGCTGGGGGTCGGGGGTGTTCCTGGCAAAGGTTTGATTTTTTTGCGATGGCAGATATATAAGACGCTCCATTTTCTGAAAACAATTATAAAAATCTACTTTAAAACATTTCAGATGGCCTGGAATATTCTGAGACTCACATAGTTGGTAATGCCGAATACGAAAGTTGATAATGGCATACATCATTGTAAGAAAGTCTGCAAATATTTGCGGTCAATCACGATTAAGTGTGTATATGTGTACATACATACATACGTGTATGTGTATATATACATATATATATAAACACACACACATACACACACACACACATATATACGTGTCTGTTTATGTTAATTCCAGCCATTTAGCTACAAAGGTACTGTCATTATCACTTTATACTTTAATAAACGTTAATTATCCATTGTTGAATATACACCTTTTACTATAGTATAAAATCCACTTGACAGCTTGGTTATAACTGATGGCAAGTTGACAACTAAATGAAGATAATTATTGGACAACAGACAGATTGATAATGATAATTATATGAAGTAGAACGATGATCTTCAGACAATATCCTTCAGCTGCTCATCACCCCCCTCATGAATACATCATCGCCTCTAAAGATAATAATCAATTAACAAATGAAAATGAAGGTAACATAAAATCGTAAGCATAACAGCAACCCATCCCATGATAAGACAGTCCCAAAGAATTCTCTCCCTTATGGGCATCTAACCTGAATGTACATGATAACGCCATTAACCTTGATATCACGGAAAAGTTTCTAGGGGTCAGACGTCTACGGCTTATCAGTCATTCGCTGGACATCCCGGAGTGAAGTCAGGAACAAGAGAACGCTGAAGTCGAGATGCCTGGCGTGGTGACAGTGCTGGTGGCTATAGGCCTGCTCACGGTCGTTGGGGGAATAATCTATCGCAGACAAAGTGGCCGGTGTAAAAGTACGCGAAGGATGGACGGAAAGACGGTCATTGTGACTGGGGCTTCTGCAGGTAAGGGGATTTTGGAGGTGGCTGTTTATCATAGTGTATTGTGGCTCAGTATGCACGAGGCCTGTGGCACGTGAGACGTAGAAGTGACAGCGGGATAAAGTGAGTGAGTGGCATGGATGACAATTAGGGATGACGTGGCAATTAGGGGGTCGGCGTCGGGTGTCAAATTGCCAGAGCAAGTTTGTCGAGTTAAAGAGCTTAGTGTCTTGACTGTTGCTAATGTATTACCGACTGTTTATTTGATAATCGAGGAGTCTTTGGACAACCTATAACACATGCGCGCGCGCGCACGCACACGTGCTATTACCGAGTTCCCGTAGATATTTACTTGTTTTTTTATGATTTGATAGTCTGATTATTTGATTTCAAATACCCTATATTGAAAAGGTAAACTGCCACCGCCAACTTTTAAAGAGCGTCACGTTTGTAATACTACGGATGAATTATTATCAAGACGAAAGCTAAAAGACTATTGTCACTTCACTCTCTATCGACTCACTCAATATTTCATGTCTTGATTTCTAGAAATTGCCATGTAAAATAAAAGGTTCTAGTAGCTCACCGAATGACAGGTTCAAATGCACCGAGTGTGAGATCTGCTCAGAGACTGAACAACTCTTTCATCACTTGTTTGTCCGTCAGCTTGGCTCTCATATCCGTCCTTTCCTTTCATTGGTTATTCTCCCATTTACACGTCCCTCAATTGGTTCTTTTCTCGTCCAATGAGCAATATTTCTATGGTTAAGATACGCTTACACTAGCCACAGTGTTGTTCTTGTTTTCCTGAGCCAGGTCCAGGTCAGAAGCTGTTACTCGTCCGATAACAGTTAATGAGGTACGAAACCCACGTAAACATAAATGGTCAGGATCTGGTGTGTATCTGGGTGACGCAGCTTTTAGGGATTTCTTCATTTGTTACATTATACACGTTACGCCACACAAAATCCCTCATTCACGCTAGCGACAATGCGAAACTGTACATACGCACTGATTCGTTTACTGTCATTAAGGAAGATCATTTTCGAAAAATCATATTGCCATAATTTAATCTCCAATACAAATACAGGGATTGCTTTGAAGTAATGCAAGATGTTGGTAGCGGTGAATTCAGCCTCAATTCACTAGATTCATTATCAAAATATACAAGATGGAAAAAAGGACACGCTTTATGATATGTCAGTAATAAAAACATTCAGTGTTATAACCTATCAATAACAAAGCTATTTTTTGGCATTATTGGGTTCCATAGTACGAAAACATTATTCACTAATAAGTAAACATTAAAATCACGATTTGGCTGTAATAGTCATCAAAATACCCACAAAATGCAAGTAGAAAAGACAATTGTAAAGAAAAAATATTTCCTATATATTATTTTTATGTTATTATTATACCTTATCATGTACTTTTTCATATTATATCATATTCTTTTCTTATATAATTTATATCATACTAATACTATATCATATCGTATAACTATTTTTTTACATTTTTTTTTCTCAGGAATCGGGCTAGCCACAGCCGAGGACCTAGCTCGTCGCGGTGCAAGGGTCATCATGGGTTGCAGAAACGCCGCCAAATCCGCCAAAGTTGCACGTAAGTACATACAGGGGGGGGGGGGATCTGCATGATCACCTCTGTTTTCGATTTTGCATAAGGTAAAATAAAAAAATATATATATATATAAGAACATAAGCATTTTCCCGCAATTTCCAATTCGTACAGACAACCTTCGCATCTCAGTGAAATAAGATGATAAACATGACGTAAAAAAACGAAAAAAAAAACTATCTTCATACATGACAATATCCATAACAAAAAAAAAAAAAAAAAAAAAAAAAAAAAAAACACGCAATACAAAAAAAAACTCATAAATACTACATAAATATAAATCATTCTCTCTTTACGACATCACAGAGGAGATCCGCGAGAAAACAGGAAACCAGGAGGTGCATGTCCGAACGCTCGACCTGTCTGACCTCGACTCCGTGAGAGCCTTCGCGCGGGAATTCAAAAAAGAGGAAAAGCGACTGGATGTCTTGGTGAGAATGGGTTTTACAGGGGCAGTTAAGATGCCTTTAGGTATATTTGGGATGATAATATTGATGATAGTGATAATAATGATGATAGGGATAATAATGATAATTATAATGATGAAGATGGAGATGGTGATGGTGATGAGGATGATGGTGATAATAATGATGATGATGATTGAAGGAAAAGGAGGTTGGCGACGATAAAATTAATGATAATGGCAATAGCAAAAACAAATAGTAACGACGATAATATAAATAAATCAATTACTACAATCAGAACCCAAGTCACTTCATCTCACCCCAACCACACCACCCCATAGTATGATACGACAAAACACCATAAACGATATCACCAAAGTATCTGTCAAGTTCAGCATGGCAACCTTATCACAGACGCTTAAGACTCTAACACCTACCGACCTT